AAAGAGTAAGCTCTCAAAAATTGATGTTAAGCTCTGCAGCTTAAAACATGATCCAGCCAGCACACAGACATATAAACACTCATACACACAGAGCCGGAAAGAAAAGGACTCTTAATAGCTGCGGCCCAGCACAGTCGGAATCGGCTGGATAAATCCCAGCTTTAGCCTGAGCTGTAACTGTGACGGAAGCTGCTTATACATATGTATTTAACCCCAAAAAAGCACTTAATTAGCAGCCTTGACTTTCGGCACAGTCACACTTGTGGCCATGGGCGTCTCCATGTCTTTTTTAAAGGGGCTTTGTGAGGTTTTACAATTTTTAAAATACTATAAGGTAATAATAAGGTAAGTATCTAAGCTCCATTTTTATTTATAATTACATACTTTCTATTTTTTATTTCATTATTTACCTTAGCAATAACTTAGGAAAAATGTCAACCCTTTAAAAACCCATTTAAAATCTGCCACTAAGCCAAACACACATAGCTGACTTTAAAGGACTGCCGCCAAGTCAGCATATTTGACTCTTTGCTTTGCCGGAATTTTGTGCAAATAAACAGACAATTTTAATTTACTTTTTTCTGTGTTCTGTGCACAGCGCCCTTGGAGTTCTCCGACTGTGAGCATTTTTTCTCATTTCAAGTGAAATCGAGACAGGTCGAGACCGACCCGGAGCCGCGAACAACCTTTAATATCGCACTGAGGTCGACGTCGCCGTTCTCTCAGTCTTGTGCTGAATTTTTAATTTGCCTGGCAAACAGCAGAAAGGAACAGAAAGCAAAAGCAAGCGCGGCTACCTTTCGTTGATTTGATGAAGGTCGCACTCATGGCAGCGGGTTGCCATCGCCATCACCATCACCATAGCCATCGCCATCGCCATCTCAAGTTGGTCTGTTTCGGGCAGAAGGTTAAGTGCCGAGAGCTTGTACCTACTTCTTGGTTTCTGTTTTTTGGTCGAGTGTGCTACAAATTGAAATGTATGTTGGCTGCAGCCATCTTCTCCATCTCGTGTTGCATTTTATTGTGGCAAGCCGGCTGTGACACGCATACATAATTTACATTACACATGTGCGGGCGTTGAATTTAATTACAATTTTAACTGCTGCAAATGCGCAATGAAGCACAAGCTCACTGAGAACAAAAACAAATAACAAAATCCGTCTTTGATTTGATAGTTAATTGTGTTGAGATTGGTTTAATCTGATGTACCGTTTCCATTACATAAATTAAATGTACTTTATCAAAGTTTGAAAAGATATAAACGTTTAGACTAAAAGAATATTTGTGCGCAAACATTTTTCAACAAAATATATTATATTTTGAAGATTTTTTAATTTTAAATGTAAATGTAAACGATTTTAAAAATAATTTAATAGTCATTTATATTTGCACCGATAATAGTTAATCAACATTTTACGACAACAATATCTTTTATGTGCTTGAAATGTAAATGCAAATCTTAAGGTTGCCATAAAGTACAGATATTGTTGTCCTTTTTCGCTGTGCACACACTACGCACCGACTATTGATAATGCTGGCCAACGGCACGTATACGCAATAACATTAAATTGGCATTGGCGGCGCTCTAAAAATATGGCCACACTCGAATGCAGCCAAGGCAACTCGAGGCGGAATTGCAGCGGGAAAAGAAGAACTGCTGCTGACCCACTTTGACTTTGGCTTCATAACTAATTCACGCACACACTGGCATACTCACTCACACATAGAGAGAGAAAGACACACACACACTCATATGGGCAGTACATAAAACATTGTGTTACATGGACCTTCAGGCACCTGGGCGCGATGTGTGCCTCGAATTGGGTCGGAATGGGTTGGAGTGGGTCGGAATGGTTCGGCTTGAAACGGTGGGAGAAGTAAGATGGGCAAAGGGGCAAGGGGCAGGGGGTTGGGAATCGAGTCGGGGTGTTGCAATATAATTAAGGTGGAATAACTTACGAGTGTTTGTGCCCGAGTGCCTGGTGTGTCTGTGTGCGGAGTGAAGTGTCTGTTGCGTTTAAAATTGATGCGATTTAAGGGTAAGCGTGTTAGCGAGGAAATGCGGTTGCAACAATATTTTAGCCAACACAATGCTTTAGCCCTTTAAAGCTAACCCTCTTTTGCAGATTTAAGCACCTCTCTTTGGATCTCATTTTGTTTGTATTTGATCTGGAAACTTTTATATGACTTTAAGGCTTAATAACTTTATTTCAGAATAGTATTCTATATTTAATATAAATTTAATCACCAAAAGGGACAAACTCTTTAATTGATGAGATAAGATAAGATAAGATATTTGATAAGTAATATATATTTTGTAATAGTTTAATTTATAAATAAATCTATAACTAAGCTTAAAGTCCTTTTTTAATTTATCTCTTTTAAAGAAAATATGATAGCTGCACACCACTATTACATCAATAGAAAGTGGAATGCAAATAAGTTAAACAGCAGGGACCCGAATAAACAAGGCAAAGAATGTTAAATATGAAATTCCATTTTCCATTGACCAACTCTCAATTTTCTATTTTTTTTTCATTTTCATATGTCAAAAGGGGAATAGCAATCGAAGGAATAACGAAAATTTTATGCTGATTAAAATCTTATGTCATGGCTAAGCCCAACGACAGGCCAAACAGACAGACAGGCATGTAGACAGCCGGGCAGACAGATGGACAGATGCAGACTGAGCTCCGGTAGTCCACGGCTCAAGGAGGCACATCCGTCGACCTCTTTGGCCACTAAAAGAAATTCCCCATTCAAATGCGAATTCGAACAACTTGTGTACATTCGTGCAAACTCAATCTAAAGGCCATATACATAAACTGCAAGATGCTCTCAACGTTCCACACGTTTCACCTACATTGCCGCCCACCCACCTAACCAACCATTCAGCCACCCAACATATGTCCAAGTAACATTGTTAAGAGGAAAAGAAAAAAGAAGAAAGCAAGCCGCTTACATAGAACGGAAATTTTTATGTCCCTCAACGTCAAACCCATTGGAGTAAGGACTATGTCCTTTTTGCCAGTTGGTTCGTCTTTCCTTCTTCCCCTCAAAATGCACGAGGAGAAGTTTTCTTATATGTAAAGGAAAATTTATGGGTTTTTGTTTTGAAACGATATTTGATATTAAAATAGGAGCTAGAAATCATAAAGATTTAAACTTTTATAGAGAAAAGTTGAAATCTTTAAGAATCTTTAAGTCAATTAATGCGATGCATAAAAAATGTAAGGAATAAGAATATCTTACATAAAGTTGATTTATTTTTACTCTTTTTAAAGGGATTTTCATTAAAGTTTTAAGTTTTTTCCATAAACATTTCTGAAAGTGTAAGCTCGACATTTTCTTAACATCTCAGTCTCATCGATTTTGTAGTGTTCTCTCGACCTGCGTTGCACTCAATGCGTCTGGCACATTGAGAGCATCGTTTAATGACTAATTTGTCCTCCCAACCTGTATATATATGTTGCTGTATGTTGCTGTCCCTGTCTGACAGTCCGTCAGTCAATCAAGTTTGTTGCATAATAAACTTTTTTTTTAACCATTTCGCATTTGTGCTGGCCAATTGGCCCTTTTCATTCCCCTTGCAACTCAAGAGCCAAGCAAAATGAATCGAAGCCAATCGATATTTGTGATTATTTAATAAACTCAATTACGAGGACATGAACCCCTTTACTAAGTGCGTGTATTGATCCCCGCTCAGCCCACAACCATTGTAGGGTTAATGCACTTTGGCTTGTTTCTCGAACCAATCGAATGTCCGTCATAGTTAAAGTTTTACTGGGAACTGCAGGCGTAGGACGAAGTCCGGCAGAGTGGAGTGGAGGCTTCAACTTTTCCAGCTGACATTTTTAATTCGTGGCTAATTTGACATTTAAGGATGCATACAAAGCTAGCAATTGTGTGGGCCAAAAAAGTTTCTTGCCCACTCTGGCTGAAAAACTTTATTCGAAGTATGCAAAAAATATTGCAATTAAATGGGTAGTAGAATTTTCACAATGACGGGAAGAGTATTGATTAAATGTTATTATTTTTTATATATTTTTAAATTGCCTTTGACAGAATTTTTTATGTGAGCTGCGCCACATATACGTTCCGAAATCTTTGCCAAAAGATGAAAAACAATGCAGCTCACAACCCAGACAATATTCTATAACCTGTACTAAATCGAATATTTATTTAGTATGGTGCAGCCAATTGTTGTTGCTGTTGCTGCTGTTTACGGCACGTAGCAACGCTCAGCAAACATTTAATACGAGTCAAGTTGGCAGCAAGAAACTGAGACACACACGTACCATAACCCTCTAAAGCCCCTCTATATAGAATATACTATATATATATACACCTCTCAGACTATCTTTCTTGCCACACACAATAAAATGCGAAACAAAACCTCAATTCAAAGTGAATATAAATTGTTTTACAGCTGACGTTTGCTTTGAATTTCAAATTGTTCCCACACCGTCAGCATGGCAAAAATGTTAACCCCCTGGCGGCCCTTGGGATGCTGTGGGACCACTCAGCTGCATCGATGGCTGGCGAAAGGTCATTGTGTTAATTGGAGCGTAAGTGATGATGATGTCCTCCACTATCTCTCTCTATTGCCAAACCCTCGGGCGGGGTTCTGCTGCTCATTGAGCTATTAAATATCGCTTGGCAATTAGACTTGGCCATTTTTAGTGGCACTATGAATAGGCAATGGGCCACAAACCACAAGCCCGATGCAGACAAAGAAAAGTGGTTTGGTTAAATTTCTTATTGTATTATTAGGGTAAAGGATATCTTAGGAGAATCTTTCAAGCTTAGTTCATCTATTTCCTATAAAATTTACATAAAAAAGAATTGGATTTTTATTTTGCAACTTTATTTATTTTATGAAATTAATATTTTTCTATCATTAACTAGGAATAATCGAGCAAATTTCCCGAAAATATAACATCAGAGTATTTAGGGAATAAAAATAATAATATATTTCGGTTCATTTTACAACCACTTACCCGATCGTCCGATGGTCAGATCCGTCTCCAAGGCCGTTGTGGCCGATGAGAGCGATTTGTCGGTGGGTAGCGCGGCGGGCGGCATGGGCAGCGGACCCACCGTAGAGGTGGTGGTAAGGTCGCAGCATTCGCGCTCAGGAAACTCGCTGCCCAGCGCCAGGTGCAGTGCACCACCGAAGAGCACCACCCACAGGCTGAGGCAGCAGGAGAGGATTTTAAGGTTTTTTATGCGAAAGCGGGTCATGTTGTGGTTTTATCCTCCTCTTCCGCCACTTCAAATGTTGGTTAAAGTTGATTTTTGTTCTATTTGTTTTCACCACTGTCGTTGGTGGCTTAATTTACGTTTTGAGCACTGTGCAGCAGCATTATTTTTATGTTTCGCAGTTCACACATGCTTTTAGCTCTAACTTTGTCTGTTTTATTTATAGAAGTCCATTACTTTCGTTTGCCTTTTAAAATAAATTCGAGGATTAAAGCCAAAGATTTAAGAACAAAACTTCTCGTGCCGAAAGCCAAAATGTTGACTTTAAAACAAGTTCTGAAAAAAAAGCTGGGAAAACTGGGCAATGGAATATTCTCGAATTGAGTGCCACAGAAAATACAGAAGGAAACAAAGAGGAGGGGACATCACGTCGACAGTCAAACTATGAACAGCATTTACAATTACTTTCGACAAAAATGTATATAGACAACAATAGACATAATGCAGCAATAACGACAGCAACAACATTGCTAGAAAACAGGACCGCCAAACGAAAAGAGAGAGGGAGAGAGATAGCAGGAGGGGAAAGCAGAGAGAAAGAGGGCTAGACAGCGGTTCCGCCCCCTGCAAACACTGAATAACATAAAAACTTTTTCATTTACAATTTGCTCAGTGGGTCTATGGCCATGTAACAAAACGAAGAAGACAAGCGGGTAACAAGAAAATGTTGAAAAGTTTTTTGGTAAATGCGAAAAGTTGTGGCCACCGCCGCTTTTCCTTTTCTAGTTGTTGTTGATGTTGTTATTTCTTCTGCGGTTTTTGCCTTGTACCGCTATCTAAATCCGCCGTGTCGGTGGCGTATGCGCAATATGCAGTATGCACACTCAAGGCAAGCTGTAAAATGCCAGGCAAAGGAAAATTAATTCACTTTGCCACTTTAGCCAGAGCCTTTATCGGGCAAATCGCGCACAGCTCAAATGTTTGCCGAATCAATAAAAATATAATTTGCTGCGATTTGGCTCAAAGGAAATGCAAACACTCGAGTGCTAATGCAGCAGGATAACGCTAAGGATAAGGCTATGTGATAAGGGGAAATGTGAAGGGGACAAACACTGCTCCTGTGCACAATCATGTAAACAAATCCCGGCGACAGACGACGGACGGCAGACAGGCAAATGCAACACGCATCTTTTGGCGCAGGAAAAGCGCCTCGAGAAAATTATTACCAGACAGGGTACAAAGAAAAAACACAGATAATACTGTAAAAAATAAAAGAAATTGATGATTTAAGACTTAAGGTAAAAAGTTAAAGTTTTAAAGATTTTCATCTTGTATTTAGATCTGAAAGTTTCCTTATGCTGACCCGAATATTTCAACTTTATTCTATTGTATTTAAGCGTTGCATATTCCACATCTTGGTGAGCAATCCAAGATCCATTTTAAAGTGAAGAATTATGGACTCTCCACCTTTTTTCTCTGCGAAAGAGACACGTCGCAGTGCAGTCAATCACGTGGGCGTCATGTGGGTGGCAAGAGGTTGAAGGACGAAGGCCGAGGCGACGAAAGTTGCCAGTCAACGGAGCGAATGCAGGCAAACACAGACGACAAACGGCTAGGGGAATGGAAATGTGAATGGAAAAGAGGGGAGTGGGGGCGATGGCGCGAAGGCGTTTTCCGCATTTCCCTTGTTGTTTCTGCTTGAAATGATTTTTTCCAGCCAGCCATCTATCCAGCCCGCAGTTGCCCCCGGAGAAGGAGATGCGTTCTTCTCTGAAGATTTTTTTTCAGTTTTTTTCGCTATGCAAACGCGGCCGCCGTTTGAGATGTGTTCAGGGCTGTCGTTTGCTTTTGAGCCAAAGTGTTGCCATAACGAGCGTAAAATGGCGGCAAAAAGACGACGTTGGCCAAAGACAACATGCAACGCGCTGCTGCAATCTAAAAACAAACACTCGCCTCTTTGCGTTAGTGTGTGTGTGGAAAAATAACGAAGCGAAAATTGAAACTAAAATAAAGCCATGTTTACCTCGCAAATTGTTACGTGTGAGCAGCACAGGAGCAGCCTCCGCCTCAAAGTTTATTTATTTAAAGTTTCAACTTTTTGCATAAGTTATCGTTGAGGCCAAAAGGCAACCAGCTGTGCTCTGTGCCCTGTGCCTTGTGCCCTGCAATTGGGCTGGTAATGTGTAATAAATAAAGCAAATTAAAGCTCACAGACACTCGACCGCATGGCCAGGCTATAAAGGAACCAGGATTCAGGTTTTAGGAGCCTGAAGCGGAACCGAAACTCCGGTCTCAGCTCACCAGCTGTGCAAATATGTGTGTCAATGGCCCCTACACTTTGAGAGTCAACTTAACATTTAAATATCTTTTGCCCTTTGGCCCACGCCCCCTCAATCTTCTACTGCATAGATGTACATGTGTGTGTGGGCTGACCAAACAAGCCAATAAATGTACCACAAATTTGTATGTCAAGCTCTTCGAGTCACTGCATCGACACACTTGGCCAGTCTTTGGCCTGGAAAATAGAGAGAATGCCACATGCCTTTCACATGCCATGGCCGAAATTCGATTTAAATTGGAATTCTTTAGTTCTTAAGTTCGGCAAATTTGCAGGCAAAAGGGTAGCGTGAATGACACAACACTTGGCACAAAGAATCCCAAGAATGCATGCCGAGAGTCAAGTGCATTAAATAGAACGATAGAATATCTAATTAGCCGCCTGCCAGTGTCAGGATCTCATAAAAGTTGCTCCTCCTCCGCCAGCTTGCCTGAGTGGCAGTCAGCCAAATTCCAGAGGAAACTTTCACGGCTCTGATATAATTATGTGCAACATAACAACTTGATATCGCATCCCTTCGCCCCCTTTGGATCCTTTGAGAGGTTCTTCTTCCTATGCGGTTGCACCTTGATGTCAGAGCACAGATGCAGTGTCGAGTGACAGTTGTTGTCTTCCTGAACGTCTTCTATGCATGACAAATGCAATTGGAACCGCCAAGTGCTCGGCTGGCAAAGTTAATTGTGATCCGGGATAATTATGTTAACTTTCTTAAAGTTAAGGGGGAATCAGAGATTAAATAAAGCGGACTTTATATATTAGATATTAATCTGTAAGTGGTTTAATTTTTAAAATTTAATAGTTTATGTTTGAAGGTTATGAAAAGTCCTCTTTACATTTTAACCTTACTTGATTATCAAAGTTTTTTAAGACTCTCTAATGCGGATTAGTTGCAAAAGCAGTAAACTCTTTTATAGGAAAAGTTTTCCGGAGTTTTTTGGTCAACTGTCTGCTTAACTCCATTCATAATTACTGGCTAGAGCGAAACTGTAATGAAATTTTAATAGGGCGAAAGTTGTGGTAGTCGCTGGGTAAACAATCAGTTACGTAATGAGTGCGCAAATGTTTGCCGCTTCAAATGCAAAACTTGTTTTACCATTTTCGTCCGCGTTGGCTTGTTTGGAAATCAGCCACGAATCCAGTGAACTTATTTGGCCTGCCAGTCTGACTGTCTGTCTGTCTGTCACGGGGTCGTAACACGGTCTCATGTATTATGTACGGCGATTTTTATTGTTTGTGAAAGTTTAAATGGGCCTGGAGGTCGCGTCTGCGGATGCTGTCAAGTGCCCTGCCATCGTAAACTTGTCTCACCTGCCCCGCTCCTGATTTCCCAACCCAACACGTTTCTCACCTTAATTCAATGACGAGCACACATGATAATTAGAAGAGCGCACACTTTGAACTCTCTCTCTCTCTTTCTATCGATTTAGAAACTGGCCATCTACACTGATTATCTACTTTGGCTTTAAACTTTGTCCTTTCGATGGCAAATCCTTCTTCAAAGTTCAGCCATAAAATGACAGCCAGTAATTCAGGTGAATCGATTGATTCGAGCCAGCAGACTGATGATGGTGGTGGCACTTGAAAATTCGTGTCTGGCTTCTATTTATATTTACTGTACGGTATAGTATGTTGCCATTTTATGACTTTAATTTATGAGTATTGATTTCAGTAGCTATCCCTATCCTTTACCCCCCGCCAAATGTACGTGTAACTGTCTGAGAATCGCAGCAGATGTCGTCAGAGGTACACGAATATTTCTGGGCGGGAAGGTGGAAGCAGGCAAGGGGCTTGTTGGAAAATGAATCAAACATTTAAATTATAGGTGGTGAATGGGGGTGGACAGTGGTGGTTACCCCTAATTGCCCGCAGTTCAAGTGACGCACAAAGACGTCAATGGTCCTTTGGCCTTTTCAACAGTTTTACAGTTTTACAAATATCGATTGAGTGCCAGCTTTAATGGCCCAATTAAAACGATTACACAAATCGTTTGGGCCATCGCAACTGCAACTGGAAGTGGGCCAAAATACAAAATTCCTATCGCATCATTAATAAATGTCGCTCTGAAGGCTACAAAAAGTCGAGCAGTGTACGCAGGTTAAAGGCATAATCCAATCGACCAGTGCACATACCCATACATATACTTCAGACTCTGGGGACCTGGGCATGGACCTGGCATTAGGATAATGGATGATTACGGCGAAACGTGTGGCATGGTCTCTTCTGATGTGGCACCGGCTTGGGTTCAGGATTCGGATCGGGTCCTGGTCTGGGTCTTGGCTTCGGCTTCGGCTGGCTTGGCGTGCGGCATGGTGCCATTTACATGCAGCAGCAACGTTAGTCAAAGTCATGTCTCGCACTAAGTTCTCACACAATATGCTCATAGCCACATTAGAAAGGTGGACCTCTGGAAACTGCATACATGGTAAGTTACTACCTAAATAATTTCAATTCAAGATTATTCGATATCAGAACCGAGTTTTAAAATGGTTAAATGGTGAAAGCTACCAGAATAGGACTAAGATTATATGGTCTTGAATTTAATCCA